TTTTAAAATATTAGCGTAGAATATCTCACAGATTTTCAAAGCTGACTATCAGCATTTAAAAACACACAGCAGTCCAACTTGGAAACAGCAGCACCAGCTCAAAGGGGGTGAGAAAGCCAAGAACCATTATCAAGCTCGGTTTTGCAATTACCCAAAGTACTTAGCTGCCATTGATTGAACAAGAAAAAGAGAGTGGACTACATCAGGACTGGTTCAATTAAGTGACGACGGCGGCGATTCATTTCTCTAGATAGTGTCAAATTTCTCTGAGTAGGACGACGATATCATGAAATTATTTCAGTTTCAGACTCAGACACAGATGTTGTTCTTTAGACGACAGCCTGGTACAGAATAACAACAGCCCACTGATTTTCACTGAGATACTTTATTAAATCTCTTCAAGCGAATGCATCCTTACACTTACTCTGAATTTCTTTTGTTTCTCTCGGATGGCATCAATTTTCAGATATTCTATGTCGAGCACTTGCATTGCTTTCTGATGGACAAACAAATATTGCTTTCACAAAATCCAACAGAAAGCATTTTATTATGAGTTTTTCCTGCATTGAGGAAACATTAACCCTAAAACCTAAAGAGGCTAAAACCAATAGGATGCCCCAGGCTAAAAATAAATCCAATTTCCCTTTGATTAAACGACACTGTGCAACACTCACAACCACTGTTTCTTTCCTTGTATCCTATTTTTTTGAAAAACAAACTATGAAACAAGCTAAATCAACTTTATAAGACAGGGAGTCGAGCCCAAATAGCAGCTTCCACATGCAGTCCGACTTATTTTTCATCAGGCTTCATGCAGCCATCTTTAAGAAAGTAAGTTTTCAATGAAAGAGTTCTCTGTCTGTGTCACTTTGAAACTGAGAAGGGCCAGAGAGAGAACAGAGGAGGTGGTGTTGTCACTTACCCTTGCCAATGCGATGGTCCAGAAGGGTACGACAGTCCAGTGCCAGCCTCTGAGAGGCTGGGACATCAGGCGCAGGCAAGGGCATGGCAGGCAACAAGCACGCACACACTCAGACACACACTACTCCTTTCATAGACATGGAAACCTTCTTAACCAAAGCCAAAAACAATAGCCAAACCCTACAACTGGCAAACTACAAAAACATAAAATAACCAGGTTATTCAAACAAACTACCAAAAATTAAGCTTACCGACGACCACGACTACCGAGTTTGGCTGCAATTAATCCAACACACATCCACACACAAACATCCACTTGTTTCCCAGTCAAGTCGGAACAGAAAAGCCAACTTCTGCTTCTCAATCAACTCACAGATCCACCACGAGCACCTGCTGAACATCAACTCGTACGTCCCAGTCTCGAGGCTTCTTAGTAATTTATGTTAGTACAGAGGCAGGTTGTCCGCATTAACGAAGAGATTAGAGATTAGTCCTTCAACAGCAGCTCTGAGCTCTGTGTGCGTCTCTCTCATTAATAAACATCTCACTGACACAATGGACCTCACTATCCACCCGAAGCCTCTCACTGGGCAACAGAGAGAGAGGCAGAGTGAGGAGGGTGGAGAGAAGCAGGGAAACAGGGGCACTATGGGACAGCTATTCAGTCAGTGGGCTTGAAGTTCAAGGAATGCAGCCATGGATGTCAGCAGATGTCTTCACAGGCCAAATGTCTGCTGGGTGATTCCTGCGTAAGTTCATCACCTCCACACACACACACCTGAACACTTGTGCAAAGCTTCTCCCACAAAACACGCTACTTTTCTCTGTTAGCAGTACTTTGTTATGAAATCTGGTATAATTTTAAATAACTTTCTGGGTTCTTCTTCTTGTTCTGTTCAACTTTTGCAGGACCAGAATCATCTCTCTGGGCAGTGATGGAGCAAGAGTAGAAGAGTGTGATGTGACTCACCTGTCATGTTGGATATTAGTCACAAGGAGGCGTTGCTCTTCCAGGTTCAAAGAGGCGGGGAGATGGGTGGCACTTCAGCCCCGAACTGGGTCTCCGCCGGCGCTTCGAAAATCAGGAAAGCCGCTGGTTTGTCTTTGGCCTGCTGAAGTTAGTATGCCCAAATTAGCCGAAGCGCTAAAACCATTTTTTAACTCAAGAATATGTTTCAACCTATCAAAAAAACAGGTGTTAGCATTTTTTAGACTAGTGACAAACAAAACGTGAAATTTAAGCAACACACCACCAGTACAGACAATTTAAATCATAAACAGCTGCCGGTACATTAATTAAACGTTAGCAACGTTAGCTACAACACGTTACCATCATACAGTGTTTCGCTACTTCTCTTTTCCTTCGACATGGTTACGACATACGGTTTCCAAATCCAACACATAACGGATATTATTAAAAAATAAACATAACTATATGAAGTTAAGTCAGCATTTGTCTATGCTAACAGTATGCTAACGTTAGCTTAGCTAGCTGCCTGTTTTGCTTACAGAGAAGCCCCGGCAGTCCTTATCGGAACACGTTTATTAGTGTCAGAAACGATTGCTTACCATGAAGTGAACGGAATTAAAGTCCTTAAAGTTTGTGTCATGCGGGCAGCCAACGCCGGGCACTTGTGCTAAAAGTTCAGCTACGCTAAGACACCATTCATTTAGTTAAACCAGCGTTACTGTTCCTCTAGTTAGCTGTACTAGCTGTTAGCGGCTAGCTGTCAGTAAGTGACAGCCCACCACTGGACACCACCTTTAATCAGACTGGAACCACATTTCATACCAGACATATGACAAGTGCTGGGGAGCCTGCTGAACAACAACACTAACTGATGAATCACATAAGATGTTTGACCAAGTATAAGGAGAGCCATTTAAGCATTGTGGGAGTATTGCAATAAAGTGTTTAAAAATGTATAATACAATTAGTGAGGTGGGGACTCTCCTCAGTCAGCTGGATTTTAGTGAATGTTACTGATGGAGCAAAAAAGCCACCATGGCTATAAAAAAATAAGAAGACTCTGATAGTAAGTGTATGAAACATATATCGGCCTTGAGTTTCTAGACTGGACAATAATCCTGTTTGCAAAGCAGATTAAATACATACAGTGCTCAGATCTCATCACCACCTGGACTGACACTGTGTGCAAGGATTGTCTAGAGTCACTGGTATGGAGGACATGATTTCCCAATCACACAAGTTTGCAATTCCCTTTCTATTTATTTAATCCTTATTATGTGCAACAGAGATAATCATTTGGCCTTGTGAAGCTGCCCACGTCTGGTGTGTTCAATCATCCATCCATTATCTATAATGGATAATCCTCACTAGGGTCATGGGGGGCTGGAGTCTATCCCGGCTGACTCAGGGTGAAGGCAGGTTCACCTGGACAGGTAACCAGTCTATCACAGGGCTACACTAAGAGACACTCACATTCACACCTACGGGTGATTCTAAATTATCCGTAGTAATTTAGAATCACCAATTAACCTCAACATGTTTCTGGACTGTGGGAGGAAGCAGGAGAACCTGGAAAGAACCCACGCTGCACGGGGAGAACATGGAGACTCCACGCAGAAAGATCCCGGGTGTCCTCAGCAGGACACGAACCAGCGACCTTCTTGCTGCGAGGCGCTGTTCCTAACCACTGATCACCTTGCAGCTTGCCCCTTGTTCAATCATGCAAGAATGAATTTAAAAAAACATTAATTAATCGGAAATTAAACAACAGTGAAAATAGTTAAGTACCATAGTCTGGATATAATAGAGTCTATTCAGTATTTAAAAATATATGTTTGTTTTCTGTAGACAGTGTAGTTCTACAGATGATGCTGCAACACAATGAGTTAATAACTTCTACCAGCTGGTGGAAGCAGTGAGTCGCACTCTGTCATCTGCACTAGATGGGACAAGCATCCTACAGAGGCCCCGCATGCAGACTTCTAAAGGTCCATATTAAACATCCAAAGACAAGCACCAACCTATGCATGCAAGGCAGAATTTTCAACAAATAAAAAAAACACTTAAACTATAGTTATTTCTCAAATCAAGTCTCCAAGATGCACTGAGATCGTGTTAGGATCATATATTTTATATTCATGTTTTGATCATCTCTTATTATTATCTTAATCTCTTGTTATTATCTTAAGGCATAATCAGCATAATTGATAAACAATTGCAGCATGAGAAAACATAGGCAGAAACAGGATTTGGTGGTTTGTGTATATCTTTCTCTGTCACAAGCAGGTATCTGCAGGAGGGAGAAACTGAGGGTGCTCAGCAGTTGGGTGCTCAGTGGTAAGTTTCTGCAGCTACGAGATGGTGGAAGAAGGCCCAGGGACACGGAGGAGCCAATCAGCTCACTGCAACACATTCTGTGCACAATCTCATGTAATAGTATAAGTACACTGGATCAGGGAGAGGCAGGCAGTCAGACTTTGTGCTCTGACATTAACTTTGTTGGTGAGAAGTTTGATCCAGAGCTCTGTATGCTTATGCAACTATCTGATAAATAAATACATTGAGTGAGACCTAAATATCATCTCCTATTGCTTCATTAAACGAATGCGCAGGAGCTATCTCACACATAGTTTAATTTCTGATAGACTGAGATTCAGCTCCAACAATTGTAGGCACTATAAACTCTGGAGCTGAACCCCTAAAATGTCCCTTTTTTCAGCTGGTCTTACTGGTCAGATGTCATCTATCTATCATCCATCCATCAAGATGCTTATCTGGAACATTAGAGGAACTGAAAAAAAATCCGTCGCCATCTGGCCCTAAACCATGACTAACTGACAAACTGTCAGAGATATAAAGTGGAAACAGATCCTGACCCTAAACAGACTTGGTTACCCGATGTCATAGAGAAACAACGGCACAAGAAGCTGTGGCTACCAACAGAAGACCAGCAGAGAGAGAGATGCACCTTCCTACTGTGACAAACACAATGATATAAGAGAGTAATACTTTTAAAAGGTTTGACTCATTAATCCCAAACTTTACAGAACTTTATAATGAAAAGCTTCTAATTCTGTTCTGAGGGAGACGTGCAGCATACCTAGCTGAGAAACATAATGAAACATCACTAAACATGACCGTTATCTTGATGTAAAGTTTACACACGTGGTGCACACACACACATAATTACACATAATTGGCGTACCAGGAATTTACCTGCACCTTGTCAAAACTTGGTACATGTCATTGGACCACTTAGCACGGTAATGTATTTACCTCCCCGGGTCTTTTAACCCCACTAAGCCATCAGGGTCAGTACTTCGTGCTGCCAACATCTCCTGATCTGTTCGACCCTCATTAGGCTGTCGTTGGTGTGCGGCCCTTTTTGAATGGGATAATACTGCCTAGATATGCTTAAGCTAAGTGGTTTAGAAGGCTGTCTTTTCAAGATATACGTGTAACTGCTAGTAGTTTATTGTATTGCAGTGCGAGAGTAGACCATGATGACAGATTACCAAACAGGCCTGAGCCTCTGTGTGGTATATAAGTGTTGTTAGCGCTTCTTGTTACACGGGCTTAGGAGTCAAAATCCAACTGAAATGCTAAAGTAATAGCAATGACTTTAAATTTGAGGATGTCATAAAATTGAAGCAAATTTTTCATCTTCAGGGAGCGTGTGCAGGAATCAGGACTTGTAGTCACCATGCAGGAGGAGGACGAGCCACATGTAGTGCACTGACACCCCATTATCTGTCCAAGGTTGGTGACTAAATGTGAAACTTTTCGATGGAACGTACAGTTTTGAGGGATGAGAAATGCTGGAAGCCTCTTCTTTTGCTTGCATCTGTGGTCTGCTTTGACCCCGACTGGCCTGTACACACATCTTCACTTAACAGAGCTTTGTGCGACTGCCAATGAAAGCTGTCCAACTGCAGTCTTACGGCTCACACACACGGTACCACAGTGTGTTAGTGATACACACCAACAAACACAAATAGACCTGCGTATGAGTGCGATGCTTGGCAGGCGTGCGGGCCATAAGGTCACATCTGTTGTTGGTTTGGCTTCGGTGTGTATGAGAATCAGCTGATTAGTGGACAGTTGATATTAATTAGATCCTGGGTTTTGGCTCATCGTGGATGAACGCCTCCCTTGGGCTAACGCAGCTTCACAGCACTCCAATCAAAGCCACTAAGTATAATTGCAGGTTGACTGTGTACAGTAGACAGATGGTGACAGGTGTTAATACCAATGTTATGCTCTTCCATAATTAGCGTCACCGATTTACTCCTTCTCTCTCGTCGTTTCTATTGAAAGTGACGTCTCCTGTGTCAGAGGTGCTTTGTTGTGTTGCTTGACGAGTGTCACAGAGTTATGCTGATGTGGTAGCAGTTATATTAGAACTAATTGCCTTAGACCTGGTGGTTATTTTTAGAGGGACAGTAATCAGCAAGAAAGGTCTGAGCCACGCAGTCACGGACAGATTGGTACTCATTAGATCAGTCTTAGGGGCTTTGCGCAATGCCTGGACACAATTAGCAAAGCAAGTCTCAAAAACTTTAACCAGCTTACAACCATAGAGACCACAAGCCGACTGGAGCTATCAGCCCAGTAAGAAAACATCCTCATCAATCCTCTCGCGTCTGTGGCTCTTGGTGATGCTTAAATTCTTATTTATTGTGTTTGGTCTGTGTTTTTCTCCCCCAAGACACTGAATCTTTCCCTTGGTTTTTTACCTTATGAATGCACACAATGCTGTTTGACTTGATTCATGTTAAAAACAATAAAGACCAGTATTGTCAACAGGTAAATGATTCACACTTCAGGTTAATGTCAACACGTCATCTGTGAAAACTACATTAGGATGCACCAAAGACACAATATTCCAGGAAATATGTGACATTTGTTGTGAACTAACAAAGTACAAAACAAAAATACCTGACAATGCCACAAAATTCTAAGAACGTCTGTGCATTCAATAAATATAAGTCTTGGCTTGACATTACAAAACAAAAACTAAAGGAAAAGATGCACACAAAGAATTACAATATATTATATTTTATAGACATCATTTTATATTACTGTACGCTGGTCTTGAACTTAGTAATACAATTTTTTAGAAAAAGAAGTTAATATTCAGTCAGTCTGGTGTATTGTGTCTGTCCTTTTAGTTTTTATTGGATTGAGAGTGTGTTCATTGTATTATTCTGCCTTGATACAAGTAAAAAAGTCAACTCAGACACATTTTCCTGCATAGTAAAAATGTACATTTACTCAAGTATTGTACTTCAGCACAGTTTTCTGTTCCTTCACTGACGTATTTCCCTTTTCTGACACTAATTCAGAGGCAAATATTTTACTTGTTGCTCCACTACATTCATTTGACGGCTTTACTTACCAGTTTCTTTGCAGATTTAGTTCAATAATACAGTAATCTATATAATCAACTAATGAATTAGGATGTAATTGTATAGATTAAGATCAAATGTTATTCACAAGCAACACCACAGGTAAACTACATATAGCAGTTTAATCAACTCTACCCCTGATCTTAAAGTGATAAATGCAATAATGGATCAATAATTATATTCCAATAATATACATGATTTTGAGATATGGCATTCTGCCTGATGAGTACTTTCCTTTTTGGTACTTTAAGTAGATTTCGATGCTCTTCAAGTATACAATGAAATCATTGCTTTTACTTGTAACTGACTCTTTCTGCACCGTAATGTTTTAAGTATAACATCCACGTACTTCTTTCACCGCTGAATAAATCAAGACCAAAAGCCACATCTGAAAATCCTGAATGCACTTTATGCTTTTAACAGGTTTCACATGTATTGTACATGTGGAAACGACTGCCGATGTGTCCACGTGGAACAAGAAAAGCTGTCTTAGAAACGTTCTAGGTAAAGTCGTGATGTGTGTGTTTGTGAAATTCACAAAAAAAAAAAGTATTTCAGGTTTGGATTGGACACCATTGAATGCAATTTTCAGTATATTAACCCTCTGAACTGCAAACAGGTTCTGAGTCGCACTCACTGTGTGCTCCTCTTCGCTGCAAAATAAAGTCTCTATGGAAACAGCACAACCACGGCTGGAAGTAGAGAGGACTCAAACATGCCTTTTTTGTAGTATGACAGGTGTAACACCATAAAAAACAGAAAAAATATTTGAATAATCACCATTTGCATGTTTAATTTGTTCCCAGATGTGTCCCAGACATGAAGGATAAATAGATTTTGACGAAATATCATGATTTAAAGCTGAGATTTGGTTAATTTTCCCAACAGAACAACACACATGATTAGTTCAAGGACTTTCTAACAATAATCGGACGCTCACGCAGTAGCTTACAACTGCATGAAACACAGTGAAAGATGCAAGAAACCTTTTGTTTCTCATCAAAGAATTTTTGTCTTCAAAATGTCGTCTACAGGAAATGTAACGGTCTCTTACGCCTACAGCGGAACACTTGAATCTAAATGTTCAATACAGACTTGTTAATCAGTCACCTTAGGGTCCTGTTACCTCGTGAGAAATGATTCTTGCTTTTCTTCAGCAACTCAGCTTGGTGTTGTAGGCCTCAATGTTTTTAACTGTGCACAACCTAAAAGGAGTTTGTCACCTCTGTGTCTACTTGCACAGACAGATACTGAAGTAAGCAGGAGCAGCAGGTAGATAAGAGGCAGCACCTCTGTTTGATATCAGATTGGTCGCAGAGTCAATTAAAAAGAGCACTTGAACGAGAGATTGGAATAAGCACTTATCCTAATGCTATTTAATTAAAGTGTCCACACTGCTTTGGAAAGATTGGGTTGACTTGGCCGTGGGGTGAGAGTGTTGCATGTATTTTGTCGCTGTCTTGGTGCCAGTGAACTCAGCTTTGCCGGCCAGCGAGAGTGGCCGCTGACTAATTAATCCTCTTTGCGCTCTTCGCTCCTGCAGCTCTGCTTTGTGGCAGTGGTTAACTTTGTTTCAGAAGTCCAGGTGGTGACCTACAATCCCGGCAGAACGCCTCCACACATCTTAGCGGGGCGTGTGCGTCTCCCCCTGTCACATCAGTGTTGGACAGTGCATCACGGTTGGAGCTAGTTCACGTTTTCCTATTATGGATTAAGCCTTAATTTTCAGATCTGTGTACGTTTGCGGCGCTATGGAATCTGTACAAGTGGATTATGACGAGCTGGATGTATATATCCTATGGGAAAAGCTGGAGCCGATGAGCGGATGCACAAGATGTAAATCTATACAGGTACGTCTTGCACTGGTACACGACACTTTTCATTACCTAGAACGGTTGCAGACTGCTGCAGATGAGGAATGCAACAATGCCATATTGTTTGCTCCAGGGAGTTGGCAGTGTGCAGGCACCAGCGAATGACAGAGCAGTCCTTCCACAGCAGAGAAACTCTTAATGTTTGCAGTGTGATCAAAACATCTCCATTTGTATAGCATTCACTCACAGTGAATATTTTTCAGCTGCCGTAATGACAGACTTAATTATGAAGTGTTTTATCATACCCGGTCTGTGCAGTGTGGAATCATGATCTTGGTGAGAATCAGACCGTCGACAGTGGACTGTGAGTGGGTGGGACAGCAGCATCTAGAGCCAGAAGGACGTGGAGGAGTTTAACTCCGGGCATTAACCAGCTCAGGTCTAAATCTGGCTACCAGATAATTAGTTGGAAAGCTGCCTTTCTTCTGGCACACAATGTGTCAACACGTGGAGCCGACCAGGTGGCTCTTTTCAGCATGATGGATGTGTGCGGTCTATCCAGGATCTCAGAAGGACTTCAACATAAAAAATGCATTTGGACAGATGTCCTATGTTTCCCAATTTATATAACGATTTGCACTCTATCACATGAAGCTTTCACAAAACAGCGAAGATCCTTCAGATTTTACATTTAACATCAGTAGTTGCAGCAGCGTCTTTAGTATGGACAGTGTAATGATGATGTGACCGCAAATGAGGTGGATGTTCTAATTATACACACACTTGTATAATTCACTTTAAATTATGTGCTGAAAACATTGGATGCCAATGCTGGTAATAGCCATTAATGCTGCTTGTAAAGTGGAATCAAAATCAATGAGACTGTAAGTGCTTTACACTGAGAATGACCTGTAACTAGATGATACTTTCATCTATTCATCTAAATGTATTAATTGATCGATTACAGTACTTTCAGTGAATTGTAAAGTCTAAAGATTGTCTGCAAATACAAAATACAAATATAAAACATGGCCATCAGACATACCCAGAGCCCTGGTGACATCTTAGAAATGTTGCTTTCTCTGACAAACACAGAGTGTGGATGTTCTCTCTGTGCCTGGGTGGCACAGTGGTGCAGCGATCAGCGCTGTCATTTCACAGCAAGACCATTCTGTTTGAGTCTATTGGTCGACTGGGGCTTACTAGTGTGGCGTTTGCATGGTCTTCCTGTGCCTTCATGGCTTTCCTCCACATTTGGGGACCATTACTCACACTACGGTGGCACAATGTCTTTGCAATTTTGTTTTTCAGGAAATTGCTCCAAGCGCTTCAGTCGTTTGCTGATGCAGACAGGACTGTCTCTTGGTTTTATTTGGTTAAATGGGGAAATTGTTGTGCTGTCTAAACGCATCTGTATAGAAACAACAAGAGCAACTGTTCTCTAGTGACACGTGCATGGCAGCAGCCACCTGTTGGCTCCGCCCTGATTCTAAATTGGCTGTAGGTGAGAGTGCGTTATCCTTGCGATGGACTGGCACGCTGTCCAGGGTGTACCTCACCTTTAGCCCAGTGTCAGCCAGGAAAGGCTCCTTGTTTACAAAGTGAGAACAAGATGGGCTTCCAATCCCTACAAGCCCTGATAAGGCCAACACAGAAAGAGAGAAAACCATTCACACTCACACTCACCATTGCAGCCATTTTAAAATCACCAATTAACCTATGATGCAACCCAGACAGGCACAGGGAACACATGCAGCACTGACCAGCAGATTAAAACCCAGGAGCATCTTGCTGTGAGGTGAGGGTACTGAACACACCACGGCAAAGAAATTAAGGTGGAAGGCCAGAATATTGGTCAGTTGCCCTCAATCTTTCCACAGGTGTCCCACAAGGAACCATCATGGATCCGTTGCTATTTTCATTGTAATAGCATGGTTAAAGCAAAGCTATTTACGTGTGTCTAAAACTGTATGTTTTTCACCAAGAACAACGGTTAAAGTGTGGAGCCAGATGTGTTTGTATCAGGGCAGAGGCTACAGGTCGTATCTGAATACAAGTAGTTCTAATAGGTTCCAAAATTTCTCTCAAGGCTCAGATAAATAAGTCCTGTTCATTTGAGATTACATGTCAACAGAGCCGGCTGAGAAGTGTGTGCTTTCAAATGTCATTGTACATATCCCTTACGGTTTAACAACCTGGTTACAGACTGGCATTGCTACACAGAAACCCATACAGTCTTTGTATTTTAAATCCTTGATAAGAAATCAGTGTGTAGCACCGATTCACGACATATGTTATCTCAAGGCGCTTCACATAGTTAAGTGAAGACCTTACAATAGCGCATTATGCAGAGGCGCCCAACCAATTCAGAGATTCCCTTTGAGCAGCTCATATGCTGTCATTTGTTGCTGTCTTGCTATTGTCAGTCGTCCCTCATGTACCTGCAGGTGTTATTGTGGTTTTGCTTTCACTGTGCCAAGCAGATTTATGTATGTTATTCTGTATTCATGCTTTCTGTGCTGCTCCTGCTGTTTATGTTTGAGTTTGTGTCTAACAACAAAGCACAATGTAATAATGACAACTGTAATATTCGTTTTATTTTTATAGCATTTTTTAAAAACAGTGATTTACAGAGCAGGATACCAACAAAATTAACAACCGAAAGCCAGACAAGCAAAGCGAGGCAAATTAAAGGTGAAAATTAGATGAAGTTAAAGCAAGATACAAACAGAAGTACAACGTGCAGCATGTCAATATTAACAGATGCAAATAGCATAATAACAAGATGACATCTCACGAAAGCAACTCCACAAAAATAGGTTTTAAGAAGAGATTTGAAAGGAGCCACAGATTCGATGAGTCGGATCTCCTCAGGCAGGTTGTTCCGAATTCCAAATTTAGATTTAAGTCTCGACTCTGGATCATCCAGCAGGGCCGCACATGAGGATGTCAGACTGGAAGCTGGCTAGGACCAGATCCAGATGTGCTCTAAATACGGGGTGATGCAATGTCATCTGATAAAACCAGTATGAAGCCGAGCTACTGCAGTCCGAATTAGTTGGAGACCAGACAGTGAATTTTACGGAGTAGTCAGGTCCTGGCAAAATAAGTGCATGAATATATTATTTTCCATTAATTCATCTCTCATTGTATTGTTTTGCATGAGACTCAGATGTGTTAACACTCTTCATTCTGCTTGCATGTGGACGATCTGAACAACGTTGTAGTTTCCTCCTGATTTAAGGGTCACTCTGTAACATCCGTCCAGGGGCTACAGTTGAAAAATAGCCTCTTGGCTAACTCTGGCACTTTACTGCAGTGTTATTAATGTGCACCGTCCCTGTTAAATGAGCCAACAAATCCTAGTGATATGTAGAGAAAAAGAGAGAAAAGAACTCATCGAGCCAAGGCCCTTCTTCGATTAAAATGGCTGTAATATACTGCTAGGACATGTTAGGACTAAGGAGTGCTTTGGTTTGAAGAGGTTTTTTCTTGCTTTCTTTTTCTCTGCCGATGTTTCCCCTTGACACCAAAGAGCACTCCAGCCAAGCAACGTGTAGAGCTGAGAATTTAAAACAGAGCACGCCTTCACTTTTTTTTTTAATTCTGGTAATGTGTATGCATTTTTCATGTTAATCTGTATCACTGAGGCAGGTCTTGACTGACTGCCTCCTTCTCCCTTTGTCTTCACCTTTCCCTTTCATGCTCCAGGCTGCTGCCTCCTCCTGATCTGAGACCAACAGTTGGGGTCGGCCGAGGTCGTCGCCATGGTGACCTTCGCCGAGACGACGCAGGTCTCCCCGATGGAGCTGCGCGAGCCGCCCTGCCTGACCGCCACCCTGTCCCCCGGGCTGCGGCGGAAAAAGATGCTGTGGCAGAACGCAGTGAAGCACATCATTATCCAGCAGGAGCTCAGCGCCCAGGTGATTGATTATTCCAGTCGGCAGTAGATTGTCTGCAACCAGATGGTTTCTACTGTTTTTTGTCTTCAATTTGTGTATATTTCCCTAGAACAGTTCAGGAGGATAGTGTGCACTGGAACAGACCTGGTATTCCCTGACGTAAAGCTATACTGAAACTCCTGTTTGATGTGTCACTCTTACAGATTCGTATCCAAAAGCACAGTTCAGTGCGAACAGTGAGACTAAACTCAGACTCCATTACATTCTGTACAGTTAAATTGTTAATTTCATTTTGAAGGGACATTAGTTTCTGTCAGATTACATTTGTTTGTAATGTATCACAAATACATGTCTAATCAGTCCATTTTTGCAGTTGACTTTAAAGCTTTACTCTTGTTCCTTATCCACCATCCAGTCATATATTAGATTGGGCAGAACTTGTCCCTCCTGATGACCCAGAACATGAAAGAGACAGTTACAATAGGTAGTGAAGCCTTAACTGTGACATGTCATCTAACCCTAATTAAGTAATTTTGGTGCCTGACCTTAACCAGGATTGTAACACAGCAAAGTGTAGTATTTCCCTAAACTTACCCACATAGTCTAGGTGCCTACACCTAACCAGAAGCAAGTGAAAACCAAAAGTAAACAGCAGAAAAAACTAAATTCTGAGACTGATGGTCTGTCATCCATCACGCGACACAAAGTCTGGTCGTCTGGCGGAGATTGCCGCTCTTTCAAACTGGGCACCTTTCCCAACACGTCACAGGTTAAAAATTACAAAATTATGTTTCAATCAAAACACATTTGCGAATGCAGTTTGACTGTATAGGAACTTAATTTTGTGAAGACAGGGTTGGAAGAAGTGTGTACCTCATAGATATATTATATGGTGAATAGTCCGCACTTACACAGCGCCTTTTTAACCTGGTATGGGTTCTACAAATGGCTTTACAATTTGTTTTTCATTCCCCCCTTCACATATACACTCCATATACACCAATAGTGGTAGAGCTGCTATGCAAGATGCTCACCTGCCATTGAGAGCAACTTTGAGCTCAGTGTCTTGACCTCAGACATTTTGGCACATCTTCAGAGATCTCACCCCCAACTTATGCTTTCTAAATGAGAAACAAAAAGTTGTTCCTTTGCATCCCAAAGCCATTGATGGACCACTACAACTTACGGGTCACTTCTAATCTAATGTCCTGTCGTGTTTTGACAGGTGGGTGTGGAACCAGCGCGCAAAATCTTTGTGACCGACGCATACATGGAGGAGATCAACAGACAAATCCGCAGCAAGGCCTCACGCGGGGTCACCAAACGTCGTTCCTCCTCGTTCAGAGTCCAGCCCTCCATCACCCGCGGTTCCACCAGCACGCACGGCAGCGTCGGCGGTTGCGTCAACGACTATTCCAGCGACGCCGACTTCTTTGTGTACTGGGGTGACACTGTTCGCGGTGTCTACATACCCATGCTGAGGCACACCTTCAAGTCCTGGGACCTTGAGAAACTCTACCAGCTACACTCTTCTCACCAAAGACGAAACTCCCTGGCCATCACCAACGTGATCGACGCTGTGGCCAAGCTGCACGTGTTGGTTCTGTACCTGGCCTTGGCCCCCGAGGCCGTGACCGACACGGTGCGAGGCTGCCTGACAGGCTTTTTCATGGTGTTAGCCATAGCTCTCTGTATCTTGGTGTTGACCTGCAAAGATTCCATGTCCCCGCGGTGGCTTCACTACGCTGGCCTTGCTAGCTGGTTGTCGCAGACCACACAGGTGCTGGGGGGACTGGTGTACGGACTGGAAAAAGACCCATCGTGGTACGTTTTGTTCACATTGTTCGCAACCTACACGCTGCTGCCGTTACCTCTGCTGTGGGCCATGTGCGCCGGTTCCCTCACCTCAATACTGCACCTCCTGGTGGAGACAGTGCGCTACCACAATGATGCTATGCTTTTGAGAAAGGTGAGAAAATTACCTGTCTGGGCTTTAAATGTTGATAACTATACTGGAGTGATACTGGATTCTTGGCTGCCAGTTTTGATATTTCAACCGTTATTCTTAAAATGTATGCTTCTAAATGTCACAGTAATAATGACAAGGGAAAAGAACGGGGTCATTGTTTTAATACTTTCCAGGTATGCATTTCACAAACTAGTTTGCAGCTTACTTTGAAGACACCGCTTGTCTCCGCACCACCATCTGTTCAGCTGTGATATGTACTCTGCTACATGTGCTGCAGACAGAGCTTTGTTAAGAATGAACTCAGAGCCACTTTGCAGGACAAACTGTCTGATTTCTAAATTTCTAAATTACCCAAATCATATTTTTCTGAATTATGGTTTCATGTCTGCGGATATCAGACAACATATACACTGATACCAATATATCTGTGGCAGGTCAATATCCGACAATAATATCAGCCAGTCAATCTGTTGGATGTTTTACTTGCAAATTTTCTATTGAATATTTAGTAATAAATAAAAAACGAGCTTTTATTAGGTAGCGGTCTTTTCTACTATTTAAAACAACATCAATTCAATCTTTAATCTTTGCATTTATCAGATTCTTCCATTTTTGGATATGTCTGGATTTTATAAAAACAATGAAAGCATTCCTCAAAAACGCTGTGACAAAGTGCTTCACATAAGGAAAGACAAAGCAGTTCAACACAATGGAACAGATAGAAACAGGCCACTAAATAAGAGAGAGCAATCAAAGTCAAACCATGAACATAGTCGTCACACCTAAGAAACATCTAAAGCATACCTGAAACCAAAGTAAAGCAAAAAAAAAAAAAAAGAAAAGCTACGTGTAGAGAAGGGATTTAAAAGATGTCATCGGTTGTGCCAGTTTCACATCATCAGGCTGGAAGTTTCAGAGCTGAGGGGCGCTGACTGAATAATCCCCGTCGCCTTTAGTCTTCATCCAGGTCTTAGGAACAGACAGAAGAGTCCTGCATGAGGATCTGAGACTGCGCTGCGACTCGTAGGGATTTAGCAATACCTCAGCATAGCTTGGAGTGGAGCTATAAAGTGCTTTAAACGATATCAGTGAAGCCTTAAAATCATTCTGGAAACTGACTCTTAACCAGTGAAGGGAGGCTGAAACATGGCTGATGTGCTCTTCTGTTTCTGAAGTTGTTAGGAGCCTAGAGGCCACATTTTAAAGTGACTGTAGGCATAGAATAGTTTTTTAACTTAACTCTGAATGTAGTGAATTGCAGCACGCAACATGTGGTGATGTGATTGCATGTATGACCTTCCTAAGGTTAGACAGGAAACATTTGATCTCTGAGGCCTAACTGGAGGGAGCATGGCTGAATAATTTAAATAATTGTTTTGGTTTTTTTTAGAAGAGAGAAAACTGTCCCATAGTCCACATAGATTTTGGGCTGCAGGTTTAAGATTTGTAGACAACGAGCCAAGTTCTGTTGAGAGAAGATGTACTTTAAAGGGTCAAACAGAATTAATTCTGATTCGTTTTAATAGTTTGAACCCAAAGCAGTTTCTGGGCATTTTTCCGTCTCATTTTTTACTGAAATATTAAGTCATGGACCGTAATGGAAACAGCACTACTCTGGCTAGAAGTAGAGAGTCAGCTCAGAAATGCCTTCTGTGCAGTTATCATGCCATAAATCATTCTAAAAAAGAAAAAAGAAAAGGTAAATTTCTTATTTTATTTTACAAAAAACAAGTGTCCAAGTGCCCGCAGTATGAGAAAAAAATGGTGGCTCTATACGCTATAGATATTTTGCCTACAAACATTTTTCATACTAAAACCTGTAAACACAGCCTGCAGTTCAGCCAAAAACCCAGTCAAGGTCACATGACTGTTGGTTACAGCTGAGTATTTGTTTGTTTGTTTGTTTGTTTGTTTGTTTGTTTGTTTGGTTGGTTGGTTTGACTGGTTGGCTGGTTGGTTGGTTGGTTGGTTGGTTGGTTGGTTGGTTGGTTGGTTGGTTGGTTGATTGTTTTTTTGGGTGGTTGGTTTGATTGGTTGGTTGGTTGGTTGGTTGGCTGGTTGGTTGGTTGGTTGGTTGGTTTGATTGGTTGGTTGGTTGGTTGATTGGTTGGTTGGTTGGTTGGTTGAATGAATGGCTTAGTTTTTGCTACAACTTTGTAAATCTAATGGGATTTGCGGGATAAAGAGATTCAGATGAAATATCATAAATATTAAGCCGGTTAAGTTTTCCGATTTTCCAAATTCATATATGTGTATTCCATAAGTCTTTTTCTTCTGTCTCTGATAAATCGTGTCCTTTTGGTAATTTTTTAAAGGCAGCGTGCCTTTCAAACCTGCAGGTGGCTTTTGGGGTTCAGAGTGTTTAGCTCCAGGTTTCATCCACCACTTGATTTACAAAAGACACACTGCTGTATGTTGCTGTTGTGCTGTTTTTTTCATGAGACATAGAGCTGAGTGTCATCAGCATGATAGTGACAATTTTGCGGACAGTATGTTCAAACTGAAGCACATTTTAATGAACGTGTTTGTTATGCAGATGAAGACTTGGTTAAGGTTTAGGAGGAACATTTGGTTTGGTACTATTGTATTATTGCAAATGTGCAGTGGGTATTACAGCACAATGAATGTGTTTTTTGTTTTTTTTCTGTAAAAATTAATTTAGATTAAAATAATGCTAATAAACACAAACTGTTTGGATGCAGGTGCTTGCCAAAGGCCTCCTGTACCTCGGTATGAACACAGCTGGCTTGTTCATCCACTACCTGACAGACCATGCCCAGCGACAGGTTTTCCTGGAGACGCGGCGCTGCATTGAGGGTCGCCTCAGATTAGAACAAGAGAACCAGAGACAGGTACAGCGAAGGCTCCAGCCGCCCTGTAGTTCAGAGCTGGACGAATTTCTGAATATTGAGACGATGAGATGACATTGCTGTTCAATCTAAAGTATAAATATTGCTCCGTAAATTCTCTGTGTAAATGGATTTTTTTGCATCGTTATGTTGCCTCACAGGAGCGTCTGGTGCTGTCGATCCTACCTCGCTTTGTTGCCTTGGAGATGATTGCTGACATGGGCTCTTTGGAAGATGAACTCAACCCTCAGGAGTTTCACAAGATCTATATTCACCAGTACAGAAACGTCAGGTACACATACGCACACGATGGTGTTTACTAGGCTTATGTTCGCAGCCTGTTTGGCTCCAGGCCTCTGAATCACCACCCACCACTCAGATTGTTCGAATAAAAATATAAAACAGATTGGTTGTTAGGTTTGATATGCAGGCTGTTATATAAAATAGCTTTTAGGTAACAAAAAATAAATAAAGAAATCCCATATTTTTTCAAGTTGCAAGCTCTTTGATTTATGGTTTACAGCTTTGCCTATGTGGTCCCTGGAACATGCATCATGATGTTTTCCTTCTCTCCTCTCTGTAGCATCCTTTTTGCAGACATCAAGGGCTTCACCCTGTTGTCCATGAACCTCTCAGCTCAAGATCTGGTCCGAACCCTCAATGAGCTCTTTGGACGCTTTGACCGACTGGCAGATGTGAGAGCCTGAGCACTTTTTGTGACTGATACTGTATTTTTTGCAGAACTTGTACTGCTTTATTTTATGCTTACATTTTCCCTGGTGTCCTGTCTCGTCACAGGAGTACCACTGCCTCCGGATAAAGATACTGGGAGATTGTTACTATTGTGTGTCGGGGGTCCCTGAGCCACAGCGTGCCCATGCCCAGTACTGCGTTGAGATGGGCCTGGCTATGATCAACACTATACGGTCAGTCTTGGCTTTGCATTTAGATGCAAGATTAAGAGGAATGTTATCTTTTTAAAAAAAATGGCAAAATCACACGATTTCTAAGAGCCATAAACTTCAAGTTTGAGTCCTTAGATTTTCAGCTTTTTAACAGTCCTTGTACTAATTGTCTGCCATTAACTAAACCTAAGCTTAAAATCTTTACATTTCATCAAAATCACTTTATTCTGTGTCCAATTTACAAATTCGCCAAAAATATGTAATTTGATCAAAGCAGATTCTGTAAAAAAAATAAAATAAAATATGCTCTTGTCTGTAAATGTCTCAATGTGTCCGTTAGTATGTAGCTGCAGACAAAAGTCAAAATCATTCAGCTGAACTGCAGGCTGTGTTTGCACAGAGCAGATATGGGACAAATATTTACCTCCCTGCAGCCTGCTATTGGCATCAACGTCCTGTCACGCTTGAACTTGTTCCCAGATTGTTCTCTCCTGACCAGATCCTTGCTTGTGTTGTATCTGATCAGATGTACGTCACTTTGGATAAAAGTGTCTGCTTTGTGAAATTGTAGAAATATGGAAACAAATTCAAAATCTAAGTAGTAAAATATCTGTAGTATGTAAAGTTAACCGACCTGCGGGCCCTCGGAAATGTGGCAAATGTTGACGTCACTGCAACAGTCATCTCATGCAAACCCGGTTTACAAATGCACAGCGTACTTTATGGCTGCTGCTGCTGCCAGTTTCATTCTGCTGTTTTTTATGATTTATGCCATTTTATCTGTGTTATATTGCACAAAAGAAATATTTTCTCTGTTTCTCTGTCTACGCTGTTTCCGTGGAGGTGATGAGCCCGCTGTGAGGAAAAATGTAACCAGAGCAGAAAACACCCCATAAACTGCTTGTGGTTCAGAGGGTTAACAAAAAGAACAAATGTGAAAGCTTAAGATTCATTCAGTAATAGTAAACTGAGATGTTACCAGTAATAGCAGTGATTTAAGAGCATCCGGAAACTGTTCGGACTGAAGATAGTCAACCGAGAATACCCATAGACGGTGATGCATTTCGGTAAGAGGGGAGAAAACCTCAGTCTAACGTGGTGGCTTTACCCCCAACCGACACCAGGTACGTACGGAAGCAGCTGAAGTTCGACATGGACATGAGGATCGGGATCCACTCTGGCTCTGTCCTCTGCGGGGTGCTCGGCCTGCAGAAGTGGCAGTTCGATGTGTGGTCCTGGGATGTGGGCATCGCCAACATGCTGGAAGCTGGAGGGATACCAGGGTGAGTGTGGACGCTACCACCAACATCAGCAACCAGCAGAGCAGCACTCCATGTGACTCATTCACGATGCTGGTCACTCACAGGCTGTAGTCAGGATAACGTCTAAGCTTTTTGGTATCATGAGTCTTAAAAACAGCTGCACAGGATCAAAATAGAAAATAAAGGTTCACCTGCAGGTTCATTTTATTTACAGTTTCTTCCATCAGGTTACGTTTTCATTTTTCTAGCCATGCTGATGTTTTTTTTCTCTCTCAACCAGACGCATTCACATCTCAAGGGCGACTCTGGATTGTCTAGAAGGCACCTACAAGACGGAGGACGGTCATGGCCGTGACAGGAACGAGTTCCTACGAAAGCACAACATCGACACCTTCCTCATCTGCCCTCAGGAGGACAGGAACAAAGCCAACCACGCCGAGCCTCCCAAAATACAGAAACCGATTCGAACCTGGACCCCAGAGATAGCTTTTGGGAATGTCATCGACATGAACTGTGTAAGTGCAGGAATGTGAAGGGAAGGTGTTTCCAGAGGTCATCTACCATGCAGATTGAAATCTACCTGCAGTGACCTGACTGAGTTTTCCTTTTCTTTCCTCATAGATTCTTGCGTCCTTTACAAACGGCTCGCTGCCCAACATATGGCAGTCCACCTCCAAAGAGATTAACAAACGCATCAGGCATGCTATTGAAGTTCGAAGCAGTGAGCGCATGCACAAAGAGCACATCACTCCGCTGACTCTGGTGTTCAAGGACACGTACATTGAGAACAAGGTACGCAGGTATAGCTGCAGGTCAGACAAGTAAGCTGCCTGCAAGACATCCATATATAAATACCTCTCATGCTGCATCTCTTTTGACCTGCTTTGGTCGGTCCAGTTCTCCCAGATGAGAGATGAGATGTTCAACTCCAACCTGGTCTGCTCCTTCATCATGCTTCTCTTCCTCATGGCCGCCCAGGCCCTCATCCCCGCCCCCAGGTAGGAACATGACAATGTTTCACTCCTGTAGATCAAAATCAATTTTAATGTATTGTTTTAGTGGGGGGAGGGGGGGCTGCAAGGTGGATTGGTGGTTAGCACCATTGCCTCGCAGCTAGAAGGTCGCCAGTTTGCATCCCGCTGAGGACACCCGGGATCTTTCTGCGTGGAGTCTCCATGTTCTCCCCGTGCAGCGTGGGTTCTCTCCGGGTTCTCCAGCTTCCTCCCACAGTCCAGAAACATGCTGAGGTTAATTGGTGATTCTAAATTGTCCGTAGGTGTGAATGTGAGTGTGCTTGGTGTCTGTCTCTAAGTGTAGCCCTGTGATAGACTGGTTACCTGTCCAGGTGAACCTGCCTTCACCCTGAGTCAGCTGGGATAGACTCCAGCCCCCCACGACCCTAGTGAGGATTAAGGTGTATAGATAATGGATGGATTTTCACGTTAATATAACGCGCTTGGTCATTTCTGAGAATATCAGCTTTCAAATCCAGTGTGTCGACTATACCGGGGCTCCGTTTTTTCACTTTTTCATGCTCAGATACAACATTCACAAAGCATCTGGTTTACTTGTGATTATATCTGTTATTAAGAATATTAATATTAGGATGAGGAAAAGAGATTTTAGCACCACACATTATAAGGTTTGTTCTTTAGAATTGTTTCACGGCGGCTCTCATCAAGATTTCTTTTACTTTTTTTTTACTTTCTTTTACTATTTTTCCTAATCTTTGGACTTTATTGAGTGAAGTTTATGATTTTGTGTCTCCACATTTCATGGATGATGGCAAGAACAACATGCACGCTGGTATCTGTATTAAAGGGATGAATTGCCCTCATGTGTACACCAGTAATAGCCTCATTTTACACCTGATGCACAATGATGAAGAAACATAGACATGCAGGGCAAAGAGAGCATATTTTAAGAGGACTCATGCCGAATCGGGAGAAGCCAAACTCCCCTGACTGTTGTTCTCATGCTGGGTTTAATCCTAAAAAGAATTTCCTGTGCTGTTTTTCTGTTTTCACCACCACCATGTGCAAGATTAGACTTTTTTTTTTACTTTGGTGCCACCTGGAGGTAGAATCAGGAATTACACTCACACTGCTATCACAAACACACTGTCACTGAGTTTTTTTGTAACTTCATTTTATTTATTTGCCATCCCAGAGCACATTTCACACACTCGTCCCTTTCTTTCATCATTTATGCTGTTTTAACTTTTTTTTCCCATTTCTCTGCTCTTTCTTCTGCCTCTTTGTTCTTCACCAGCGGGATGTTTCCAGCCATCCTCCAGTTCTCAGTCTTCCTGCTCGTCTACCTGCTGCTGCTGCTGATCGCCCTCGCTGAGGAGTTCAAGTGGACTCCTGCATCGCTGCAGCAGTTCTGCTGCTGGATCCACGAGAACAACAGCGCCCGCAACCTGCTCACCCTCACGGCCATCGTCATCAACTTCGGCTTGGCCTCCGTCGACATGGTGAGACTCCAGATGACACAGAGGCAGCTTGACGTACAGAAACATATGAACTCTCTGCTTCACCACAACTTTCCTTTTTGCACATCTGCACCGGCTCTTAAACTGAATCAATGCGGATCCAGTCGAATGCACTTATTAGCATAATCCTCCCTGGAATGCAGATGCATGAAAAAGAAAGCTGATCTCCCCTGTTGATACTTGCACAGCAGATGACAGGCTGCTTGATAAATAGCCAACATTACTACAGGCACAATTTAACTGTCTACTGAATCTGCAGGTTCCTTTTACTTTTCGGCATGTTTTAGCTTGTCGTTCGACCAGCCGCCCTGCAGCTTTACTGTTTTGGTTCACTTTCACTGCTCTCAGGAAGTCATTTTTGGTCACAATAGTCAGCTGGTCTCAGAAACGTAGCTCTAAAAACCCTCTGAACTCCACCTGCTCAGCACCAAACTTGGTAGAGAACAAAAACAGAGCTAAAAGTAAGTTTTACCAAATGAACAGAACATGACTGCAAATGTTGCTCCGTTAAGGTCGGACGTATAAATAAGCAGTCGTTTACTAACAAGCTCGCCATATAAACTGAAAAATTAGATTTAAAGGTGCAACATACAAGATTTTAGACATACTGTTAATTCAGCATTAACCCTCAGAACCCCAAAACCTGCCAACCGGTTTGAAAGGTATGTTATCTTTAAAGTGAAATGACACCATTTATAAGACACAGAAACTGTTAAAACAGAAAAAACTGCTGGAAGCTCTTGAACTACTTATTGGTGACGTGCTTTTTTGTTAGAGGTCTTAACCAACTATATCCCTAAAATCGGGATTTTTCATCAAAATCACTTTATTATACAAGTTTCTAAATAAAAAAAGGCTCCTCATCTGTTGAATGCATTACTCAAAGCTCAATTCCAAGCTTAAACATGTCATAAAAGGAGATGTGTGTCTGTTTTATTGGGATAACATGCTGGAGTTACATGTGGTTTGTATGCTGTGTGCTGCTTGCAGGTGTGGTGTATTCTCACAAACACAGGAGAGGCTGACATGGAGAAGACCAGCGTGGGCTCACGTCCGCTCACTGTCTGCACGTACCCTGAGGTCAGCACTAAAGTGGCTTAAATTTGGATTTTACAGTGTTTTATATGAACAAATTTAATGTGTTGGTCCATCCAAAGCTCAGTCTTGAATTTGACAAATACATCTCAAGTCATCTCAACTCCAAGAATGTCATTGAAACACATTAATTTCCCGTGGCTTCTCCTTTGCCTCTTTGAACCTCCAGATCTTCGTGCTGAGCGGCGTGATCGCCATGGTGACCTGTGCCGTGTTCCTGCGCATGAACTCCCTGCTGAAGCTGGCGGTGCTGCTGCTGGCGGTGGCTGTTTACTCCTACCTCATCCACCTGGCCTTCCTCACGCTCGCGCGCCACGACGTGCAGCACAGGTGTGGGCAGAAGCCGGTGCCTCGAGAAACTGAATCTGAGTCGTTTATATTTTGATTTAAATAGCGCGATCTATTGATTTCATGTGATGTGATGGTTAATGGTAAAACTGAATCACTGAAGTGGCTGCTGTTGGTTGGATTCGATCAGTGGTTGGGTTTGTTGAAGCATTATTTATTCTTTTAAACACTTTGTTTGTCTATTCTCTTACTACAATGAGGACCATATGGTGCTCCTGTTATAAAGCACTTTATCAAGGCATCAGTCTTTATTAATCAGCTTTTTTTGCGTTTACTCTGTTGCAGGTCTCACTATCTCAGGAGAAAATGGATTTCCATCCTTCTCATGGCCATGTTCATCGTTGCTGTCTTCTACAATGGACGGCAGGTACAGAAGTTTTCCCTGTTTTATTGGTTGTTTTATCTGTAATTGAAGTCAGCATTGTTCTAGCCACAGTGACCGAGATTAAAACTGTTTTCTCCCAAACTGAGCTCATGGCTGAAGGAGTGGGTTGTGATGTTCCACTACATCCTGCCGTGTCCTTTGCTTTCCAGTGGGAGGCTACTGCCAGACTGGACTTTCTGTGGCGTCTGCAGGCCCAGCGGGAGGTGGAGGACATGAGGGAGCTGCGAGAACACAACGAGTGTTTGTTACACAACATCTTGCCGCTGCATGTCGCACGACATTTCCTGGACCGGAGCAAGAATGATGAGGTGCTGAAAACGTGAACGAACCCGACTCTGACGGTTCACAGGTTCATATCGTGTGGCCTTGGCTTTAAATATATACCAGTTTTACTGATTTTGGTTACCTTTTATTATAAACATTTTAATTCAGTAAACAGGAACCAGAATCCCCCTCATGTACTTCACTGATGAAGACCTCTTTCTGCTGTAGCGGATGAATCCTTCTGTGTTCGAGCCAAACAAAGACTTTTTTGATTAACGATTATGACACAATTCTCATTTCAGGAGCTTTACGCCCAGTCCTATGATGAAGTGGGCGTTATGTTTGCCTCCATCGACGGGTTCAACGAGTACTTTGAGCAGAAAGAGATCAAACATGAAGGCGTGGACTGCCTCCGACTGCTGAATGAGATTATTGCCGGCTTCGATGAGGTGAGTTCTGAAAATTGAAGTACATCCGTGGTGTGTTTATTGTCAGACCAATTCTCTATCTATAAATAAATAAGACTTCCATCTAGAACTAAAGTGTGCTGGCTACTGATGGCTTAACTCGGTCACTGTTTTATCTCTTTGTATTCTCACAAGCTGCTGGAGGAGTCGTACTTCCACTTTGTCGAGAAGATCAAGACGATCGGGAGCTGCTACATGGCGGCGTCTGGTTTAGCTCCAGACAAACAGGTGGGAAATCTTCTCCTATGTTGTCTGCAGCATTTTGTTTTGTCTGCATTTGCTTCCATCACTGGTACCTGCTTTAATATCCCCTCTCTGCATCACACTCTCCATCTGTCTTTGTCTCTTTCAGGCATCGATGGATGAATGGAATCACCTCAGTGAGCTGGTTTTGTTTGCGCTGGCGATGCAAGAAACACTGAAAGAGATTAATAGGCACTCTGCCCAAAAATTTGACCTGCGTGTGGGTAAGTAGCAAACCTCCTACACACACACACATACATCAGCAAAACACTGAGAATAATGAAATAACTCTCTGAGGATTTCTGCTGTCAAAGCCCGACTGCCAGATAACTGAGTTGTTGTCTGGGCTTGGGACTCATGCAGGCATTGCGCATGGACCGGTGGTCGCAGGGGTGATCGGCGCCACCAAACCCCAGTATGATATCTGGGGATCAACGGTGAACCTGGCCAGCCGCATGGACAGCACAGGTGTGAGCGGCCGCATCCAAGTACCTGAGGCCACCCGCAAGATCCTGACAGAGTGGGGCTTCGTCCTGGAGCTACGAGGAGAAATCTTTGTCAAAGGGGTGAGTGGAGACTGGTCTTGTGTGTCAGTTATCCGTACTCAGGTGCTGCGACATCTAGATCAGGGGTGCCCAATCCTGGTCCTCGAGAGCCCCTATCCAGCATGTTTCAGATGTGTCCCTCTTCCAACACACCTGATTCACATGATCAGGATCGTTATCAGGCTTCTGCAGAGCTTGATGATGAGCTGATCATTTGAATCAGGGAAACATCTAAAACATGCTGGATAGGGGCTCTCGAGGACCAGGATTGGGCACCCCTGATCTAGAACAATGTAGGAAAAGACGGAACAAGCACAGAATGGCAGAATAATAATAATAATATTAGAATGGGTGTCCCCTGCCTTCACCCTGAGTCAGCTGGGATAGACTCCAGCCCCCCCGCGACCCTAGTGAGGATTAAACAGTGTATAGATGATGGATGGATAGAATGGGTGTTATTGAGAAGCTACATCGTTGAGGTTATCGTTCAGTTGGGTTCTAAACATCCTATGAAATAAATATTAGTCATGCAGATATTTCTGACTTTTGCAGACGAAGGGTTTGTGGTCTATACGTACCTTTGAGAGCCCGTCTTAACCCTCCCAAGCTGCTCACTTACTCTTAAGGGCCCCTGATGAAAATCAAACATGTTTGATATTTACGAGATAAAGTCGGGATGGGTACGATTATTATGGAAGCACCTGGAGCAGCAGACACTTTAGCTCTCGATAGCTACAGATATTAACAGTCATTGCCGAACTCTCAGCTCCAATTCTCAGTGAGCAATAAAGAAACTCAGCACACCTACCCAACTATTTTCTCGCCCACTCTTGCTTCTGCTCTTGTTTTTTTTTCTCCCCCCAAAGTTTCATTACAGCAAGTTGTTGCACCACAGTCTCCATTTTGTTTCCATCTGCTTCACATGAGATGGTGCGCTGCTCCCTGATCGCTGCCTTTGGCTCATAATAATGTCCTGTAGCGGTGCGATGCGCCATTAATTTGTGCGCATGTCTGAGATTAGAGAGGAGAATTTTTGTGAAGTTCCTCTTTATGTACGAGATACGACACGATTTCAAAATCTAATAGGATTCTGCAGCGTGAGCTCAGCCTGAGGCCAGCATTAACTTTAATGAAACCCACTGAAGATGATAAATAAAAGGTGCTGCAAGGTTCTGGCGTGTAACGGCCAATAAAAGATTATTCGAAAACAGGAAAAAAGGAGAAAACTCAGGGGAAAACAGGGAGGCACAAGGAGACGAGGGAGGCAGGTGAACAGGAGGTAAACAGATGAACAGGACAGAAGGAGAAATAAATTACATCAAGGTTATTCAGAACAGGTGGGCGAGACAAAGACTGGATGTAGTAGAACAAAAAACACGGGGAAAAGGAAAACACTAGAAAGAAAACATCCCACATTACAGAGACCAAAACTACTCTGGTGTATTTCAGTCAAAATGCACAGAAACCACAAAACCATTCATTGTGCATGAAAACAGAGGAAGAAGGAGTCTCACCTTTATGTATCCATAGCATGTCGCTGTGCTTACATGCAAAATAAACAAGGCTGCGTTTTAGCTGGTCAGGCTCTTTACAAAATGCCTGGAAGATAGGATCATGGTTGATGGTGTTACGCTGCATTTGTTCCAAAACATCCACAGTGCATAATAATACAGTAAACTACCGCAGTAACCTGGCATCAGCATCAAATACAAACATGCATTCCTGCTCAGAAAGCAGGCATCAGGGCATCAAATGTTGTGTTCTTAATGATAAATATATAACAGTAATATTGCATTTTGTGACCTCCGTTGTCATCGTAGGTCAGCGAGCGCCAGGGGAAGGTCCGCACCTATTTCATCAGCAACATGCGCAGCAAGAGGGCCAATACCGGAGCAGACGGACACTACGGGGGGCGCTCAGGAGGACGCATGACGCTGGCAGAAGTGGTGTTCGGCCTCGTCCAAGCCAGGCACAAGGAGACACAAAGGGACACCAACGGCTTCAATCTGACTTCCTGCAAACTGCAGTGCTGAGGGGGAGGGCTGCTGGGGGACACAGTCCACCCATAGGAGTCCTACTGGTTTACAGTGTCAGTGCTCTTGTTTCATTCTTTGCCATAAATGAACGAGCTGCACAAACCTGGTGTAACTGCGGTAGGATCCGGTCCTATCAAAGCCTTTGTTTCCTCCGCGACTGTGTCATCCTCAGCTTTCCAGTCGACTCAAAGGTTTAAAGGTTTTTGACAGGTTAAAGCCGGGGTAGGCAGACATCTGACTTAAGCTAAAAAAAATTTGCATTTACTCGTAGCTTAGCAGAAGATCTAAACCCTCCCCTCTGTGCCACTGCATCCGGCTGATCATGGTGCTCTCCATTAGAGCCCAACTGATGCTGGATTTTTGCAACTGATATCAATACTGGTTATAAAGAAGTCAAAAAAATCCCAATAATCAAAATATTGGCTGATTTTTTTTAGATTCTTTTTCTTTTTTGCAATGTTCCCTCAAATGTGGTTATAAAACATTTTGGACAAAGATATGTAAGGTGGCATATTTTACAGTTTAACAACAAACTTTATTGTCCACAATGACCCACTCACTGGGAGTGTTCTGTTGTTCCTTTTAACCCAGTTATACTCTGGTGACAGACTGTGTCCATGTTAACCTCTCAATCTGCTGCCTCACTAACACAGCAAACAGTTTGAGCTGGAGCGTCATGACAGTTAGCGGGAACACAGTCGCATCAGAGGTTAATTAAAAAGGAAAAATTAGGGGGTCACTATTAACTTTCCAGTATTGTATACCATAAACTATTCAGCATTTACCTGAGGAAACACCAGCACCCATTGTTGCATGTGAAAATAGTAAAAGTTGGAGCGCTGTCTGCTGGACAAACTACCAGATGACACCATTTCAAACTTACACCGAGCCTCTTTTATTGCATATCTACTTATGTAGATGGTGATATTTCTGTGATAGGCCAGAATCAGCCGATACTCTGCTCTTCGTACAATCTCACGTGCTCCTGGTAATAAGATTAGCCAAAGTCTCCTGTCACTAGATTGTCTAAAGCCTGAAAATGGAGCCAAGTGGAGGTGCGAAAGTTTCATTTCCTCTCAGACCACTTTAAGTACAATCTGCTCAAAGATGAGTATGGATTTGTTTTTAAAGTTTGCAATTTCATTTAGCAGACGCTTTTATCCATTTGAGAGTAGATCACATTAGCTGCCATGCAAGGTGCTGCCTGCCATCGGGAGCAACTTCAGGTTCAGTGTCTTGCCCAAGGAGGGGCCGGGGATCGAACTGCCAACCTTGCGATTAGAGGCCAACCTGCTCTACCACCTGAGCCACACCTGATGCCAAAAAACATACTGCCTACCCCGGCTTTAATCGACAAATAGAGGAATTCTTACTTGATTCTGTTTCTTGAGTCCTGGAGCTTTTATCTTTGATTGAGCTGCGTTTTCTGAACTTCACTTTTAGAGCTCATAACTGTCCCACTGGCCTCTTTTGACTTTAGTAAGCATCTCGAGAGCGCTGCTGTTTTTTTTCTTGCCATATCGACAACCTGGAACCACTGATGCCAGCTTTTAGGTTCATTTTGTTAAGGAAACATGTTTTTTGTTTATTTGCCAGGATAATACTCCGGTCTCTAAGCCAAACACAGAATACCTCAAAGCAACCAGCTCAACCTCTCCGAGACAGGAACACTACCCATGGCCTATACAGTACTGACTGCTGTTTTTTACTGCATCTTTTTTTTCTTGAACAAGTTTTCAGTACATTTCGTGTTGTGGGATGAAGCATTATTTCTGCTCATCTGCTGGTATCTGAAAATGTCTCACTGTGTGTCAAAACACTGCATTTCACATCATTAACTGCCAACGCTGCTGGATTTCTGAGATTTTTGTCAAACACCTGACAAATCATTTTGTTCCCTATTCTTGGGCTATTTAACCACAGTTTTATTTCCGTCATAGCTGGCTGAACTAACTTGAATGCCACTTCTTATTCACCCATACTTTAATGTCACTCCTCTTCTTGTATTCTAAAACCAAAAGGACAAAGAAAGCTGCTTTTTCTTGATGTCATACGATTTTGTACGGACTCAAATTGACAAGCTCCCCTGTGGGACTTCTGATGGTCCTCTGCAATTATCGTGTAGATGAAAACCTTTTCAAAAAAAAAACAGGTTTAATTGTTATTACCGTGTGACAGATGCTGGACTGGGCCTTTGAAATGAGGCTGCGTGAAAATCTGTATCAGAAAAATGGAACATTATCATGTTTTCTTAGCTATATTGTGCTTTTTTTACATGTCATTTTTACAAAAAGTTTAAATAGTGTACAATTTCTGCCAATAAAAAACAGTGATGTGCATAAAACAGAGTGGT